TGCAATGATCAAAGCCATCTGGGTCGAGTGGGCCTGGCAACTGTCACTGACCACCTTCAAAACATCAGGCTGGCATGTTCACACCTAGCCATGAAGAATGTCCCACAACTCCAGCCCTCAGGCCCAGGGACACTGACCTCGCACTTGTAGCACTTCATGTGGAAGTTCTTGTCCAGAGCGGCCACTCGCACAGTCTCCTCCCGGCCAGGCTCAGGCATGATGGGCTCCCGCACAGACAGAGCACCCTGGGGTGCGTACTGCCTGGAGGGCAGCAAGGCGGTACAAAGTCAGGATGTGGGAAGAGGCACCCGCGCTCTCACCAGAGCACAGGGAGAGCAGACGGCGGTGGCATGGCAACAGGCAGACTTCTCTGCCCATCTTTCCCACATCTCAAGGTAGAGGAAGCCCAACAGAAAGGCCTAAGACCAGCCAACCGCCTCTCCCAAAACCCCACCCACCCCAAACCCACTGCCACCAGGTCCTCACCCCCTCACATTCATCCTGCAGAAAGCACACCCAGCGGAGCCCTGCTAGTCCCATCCCTGGACCCCTGACCCTAGTCCACCCCTCACCACGCAGGTGTCTCTGTCCGACTGCTGGGAGGTACAGAGGGACATGAAGCCCTGGCCACCCAAGGTGGAATCCTAAAAAACCGCACACCTCAAACACAGCGGTGGGAGCCAGATTCTGTGGGGTCCCTGTACCGCCCTCTAGCTACCTTACAGGATTTTGCTGCTGGCCTGAGAAAGTAGCCACCTTGTCAATACTTTCTAGGGAACCAGAGTTCCTAACAACTGACCTCCAGAGGAACATCTACAACCGGGCCTGTGTGAAATGAAGTCACTCCAGCAAATGTCGCCAAACCCAGAAGAAGCTTCAGTGAGCCAAGGGCCAGGGGACTGGCCAGGAGCAAGACTTGCTACCTAGGTCTAAGGCTCCTGGATAGCTTAGTGACTCCAGTGGTTCTCAACCTTCTGGCCCTTTAAATATAGTTCCTCACGTTGTGACCCAACCATAAAATTATTTTCGTTGCTACTTATTAATTGTAATGTTGCTACTGTTATGAATCATAATGTAAATATCTGATATGCAGGATGGTCTTAAGCGACCCCTGTGAAAGGGTTGTTCGACGGCCAAAGGGGTCACAACCCACATGTTGAGAACCGCTGGCTTAGTCCACATAAATTCGTCCCTGCCATCTACAGATAAAACATGGTTGCCAGAAAGCCAGACCAGGGGTTTGGAGCTGTCTTGGGATCAGAGGGGCAGCCTGGCTCCCAGACAAACCATGGTTGGCCCCAGAGAAGCGCCCAGAGGTAGTGGTGGGTCCTCACTTGTGGTAGTCAGGGACGCAGTGGGGCCGGTTGGCCTGGTCCACAATGAAGGAGGTGCCCTCCAGGGGGCAGGCGCAGACCACACAGGTGAAGCACTGAGGGTGGTAGGCTTTGCCTGTGGCCCTCAGCATGCGGTCAGTGATGGGCTGCCCACAGGTGTTGCACTTCTCCAGGGTGTCCTGAGGAGGGAGCAGCAGGAGATTGGCAGGGAACTGTACCCAACAGCCAGCTGCCAAGGCAGGTCTCCACATGTCCACACCCCAACCCCTCGCTGAGCCCCAGAGTGGCCCTCAGCCCCAAACCTGACTCACAGTGTAGCAGCCCTCACAATATGGTGCCCCCTCCACGCTGTAGAACTGCTGTCCTTGCAGCTGCTGCTCACACTGGTGGCAGGTAAAGCAGGTGATGTGGAACAGCTGTCCCAGAGCTCGAACTGCGGGCTGCGCACGTGCCAGGGGCTGTTGACACCGGCCACAGGATTCTGGGTAGGCCAAAGAAGATAAATAGGAGTCAGCTGATCCCTCGAAGAGGGAGTGGAGCCACAGGAGTGGCCAGCACAGTAATGAAGCGGGGGACAGGCATCCCAGCAAGAGGGCGTGGGCTCACCACTGACAGCCACGTTCTGCCTCTGAGGATGCTCCATGTCTTGCATGAGCTGCTGGGTCAGCTGCTCCAGCTCCTCCACCTCCTTCAGAGTCAGAGGTCCTGGGGCCCCAGGGGAGCGCACCTGAAACCCCAACACTCTCTTTAAACCCTCTAAAGGGTCACCCCCTCCAAGAACCTTCCCCAACCAGCTTACCCACTTTCTTCCAGGAAGGACTAACTCCCCTCCCATTTCCCAGATGCTCAGATTTGACCCTGAAAGCTCCTCATGACCCCTCCCAGACCCCAGCACCACTCGAATAAGGGGGAGGGGATGACCTTCCACCCCCTTTGCCCAAACACCCCTGGGCAGCCACAGACAGGCCAGAATGACTGAGCGGACGAAGGCCACGCACACAGCAGCTCAGGTCACTGAAGCACCGAACACACCAGGCCACGCATCAACTCGACAGAGCATGCTCGGACATGGCCCCCCACAGGAGAGGTCGGCGCGATGGGCTGCGCACCCAGGTACGCACACACCTACCCGTCCCGCCTGCTGCTGAGCAGCCCTGTCAGCGTGAGGATACAACACAGGCAGGAATCACAGGTTAAACCCCCAGAGCTACCTGCGGCAGCCCAGCCCCCAGCCCTCCACAGAGGTCCAGGGTCCCTCCTGACCTCACTTCCTCCCCTGGAGGCCTCAGAGAAGGGCCAGCCCACAACTGGGGATCCCACTATTTAGGGGATCCTGAGAGAACTTAGGGAGGGCGGTGGGATGAGGTTAGGGGGCACTGCAGGGACCCTGACAAGTACCAGGAGGAAGCACCACAGGCACTGTCTGACTCCACCAGCATTACCATGAGACGCTTCGATAGGAACGCTGGTTGGTCTTCTGTTACTGGAAGAGTCCACGTAGGACTGTGGTCACTGAAGGTTCTGCCTGCCCATGCCTTCATCCCCTAACAACCTGGAGCCTCAGTCTCCCAGCTACCTCCTCCACAGCACCTTCCCCCCCTCAGCCTGGGCCCCACCAACCCTCACCCCTCTGCATCCAGAGCTGTGCCTGCCTGGAGATGCAGACACATAGAAAGGCCCCCATGACCATCTTATTTCTACAAGGCTTTCCCAGCCCCTCTAGCCTCCCTGGGCCACCTCACTTATCTGGCCCAATCTCAGCCCCAGGCCACACCACCCGCTTCCTGTTTCTGCCTCCAGGCTACAGAAGTAGGCATAGCGGCTGCAGAGTGAGTTCACAAAACACAAAACACAGCAGGGCCCTCGGTGACCTCAGCCCCAGTCACCCGCAGCTCGGCTGTCTGGCTTTTGGCTCCTGCGGGTTCCCAGTGGCCTTCCTTCCCCACAGCAGCTGTTTCAAACCTTTCCATCCCCTCGAGCCCCTCGCTCTCACCAATTACCTCACCTCCTACACAACTGAGAAGATGGAAGCTGGCCAGCTCGAGCTCCCTCAGTGTTCCTCTTCTCCACAGAAACACTGTGCTGACTCTGTCCTTGCTCTCTGGGAACGCCACAGCAGGGGGGCCGTCACCTCCTCTCCTCCAGACTCCATGGAGCAGCAGCCCCTGCTCTCAGGCACCTCTAACCCCCCTGCCCTGCACCAGCTTCTTCCTCTTGGTTCACACACATACCTGAGCCCGTCCCCTAACATGAAAAACCACACACACACACACACACACACACACACACACCCTGCCCTAGTCCATCTCTGTCAACCCTTCAGAGCAGGCCACTTTGGAAACTCCGTTTCCTCAATGCCCATGCAGTCCGCAACTCCTTTCACTGTCCCCACCAAAGGGCACAAATGGACTACCCCACAGCCTTCGGTGACTTCCAAACAGTCAAACCTGTGACCTTCCTATAGTCCTCATCCTCAAACATACCGAAGGGCTCCTCAGCCATCACATCTGTCCCCCAAGATCCCACCCCGACATGATGCTCCTCCTTTTCTGCCATTGTTCCCCTCCCACCTGACCAGCGGGAGCATCACCCAGGTTCCTCCCAGGCCCGCAGCTCCTGCTGTGCAAGCACCCTGGGCTGCCTCAGTACCACTGCCCAGTGACAACCTTGAGTCCCGGGCCTCTCCTAAAACCCGGCCCTCCATTTCTAACTGAGTGACAGTTCCAGCTGAAGGAAAGTCCTCCTGGAGCCTGTTGCTCAATACGTTGACAGCTGGACCCCTCCCCTTCCTGTCCAAAGCATTTCCCCTTCTGGACTTCTCTATTTTGTCAGCATTACTGTCATTCATTCCCCCCGACACACCCAGGCATTTTTTACCCCTTCCCTTCCTCTCCCAACTGCTTATCAGCTACCAGGTCCTAGAGGCATTTGCTTTGACAACTCTTATCCCCCCATAAGTCACTAATCTCCTACCTCTAGTACACACCTCTGCTGTAAACACTATCCCAAAAGCTTCCAAAGGCATGGCTGTCACAGGTCTTCCAACCCACTCACACACCTACTCGAAAGCTATGAAGGACTTGCCAGATCTGACTGGCTCCCTCAAGCTCCCCCCTACCTCTCTGTGGCTCTATAACTTCCCAGAGGAACCTTCTACTTTCTAGGCTCCAAACACTCTGGTGTATTTGTGCCCTTGAGTTTTGCTCATGCTATTCCCACCCCAGTGCCCTTCACTCTCCTCTCTGGATTCTTAAGTCCGACCATCCCTCAGAGCACACCAGCACCAGGACGCCTTTCTTAACTGGCTACCCCATGTTGACTCCCTGTTTGGAGCTTCTGCAACACAGAATTCTGCACAACTTATAGGTCCTCGACGTCTCCTCCTGCCCCATCCGTGCCTGCACGCACAGAGACAGATACTCCTGCTGTCCATTTACTCTGTCGCTGGTTGGACTAGATGACCATCAGGGTCCCTTCAACTCAGACGCTCTCGTCTCCTGAACTAAAAGGTGGGAATGCGAATTTTTCAATTTGGGGCACTCATGTGTTAGATAAAGACCCTCAGCACTTTCTATGCGTTAGCCCCCTTGATCTTCACAACCATTGTATGGGGTGGATAATGTTATTTCAAGGACAGAAACAGGCTCAAAGTTCACCTCAACTTGCCTGGGATTTTGTGAGATGGGAGCTGGGAATTCTATCCCAGGTCCAGCTGACTCCCTCAGGCTTAACCTCTTTGAGAGATCTCTTCCATCCTGAGCACAGAGCACAGTGCCTGGCACACAGCAGATGCTGGCTCAGCCAGTGCAGCCACTCTTATCACCCCCAGGCAGTGAGAGTGCTCAGAGAAAGAGAGATTAACTCAACAATCCAAGAATGGGGAAGAACCAGGGTGGGACTGGTGATGAGGTCATCCTCCCCTCTAACATACTGGGGAAGGGGGAAGGGATGGTCCATCAAACCCTCCGCCAAATTCAGAGCCTGTGCTGCTCCCACTCCCAATCAGGCCACACCCAGGCCCCCCACCAGTCCAACCCTAGAGGCTGGAAACTCCTCTCCCACCATCCCCACCCACTCATCTTTGCCCTCATTCTCTGGCTCCTGACTTATCCCCTGTCCCCAGCACCCATGTCTCAGCCTGGTCCTCCCACCCTGCCTCACCTGGTTTTGATTTTGAGCCGGTGTGGGCACTGGGTGCTGCTTCTCCTGCACGCGGGGCTTCTCCCGCTGCTGAGCATAGGTGAAGCTGGGGGGCTGAGGGGAGCCTGTGCCAGTGGAAGAGGGAGCTTGAGGGGGCCCTAACTTTTGATTGGGCTGTGGGCCCAGGTCCACCTGGGGCTCCAGGGCTGAACTTGGGAAGCCACAGGAGTAAACTTGGGAGCCACTGGAGAAAACTTAGGGGCTGGGAGGTGGGGCTGGGGAACCGAGCTGACTGTAGCCAAAGGGCAGGCTGAGCGGGGGGGGGACGGACTACGATGGGGCGGGACGGAAGGTTGGAGGGGGCTGGGGTGAGGCTCGACATGGACGGTGCCTGTCGGAGGCTGACCCTGGCCTGATTGAGAGTAGGGAGCAGGCCGGCCTTCAAGGAGTGGTGAGTGTGCGTGAGGG